TTTAATCTTTAAGGGCTACCTCTTTTCAAACTGAGACCACCAATATTTACCATGGTATACACAGCAGAAGCTGGAACAAGCACACCACAGCCTTTCTTACAGGCCAAAACAGTGATGGCCAACTTCCCTAGCAGCAGCTGGCTGGACCCAGCTGCTTAAGAGTCAGAGCTGATATTCTCATGGCAGAAAGATCAGTGGAACCATCTACTTTCAAGCTTTTGGTTTGGGAAAATATTCTGTCTGAGTTTAAAAAACAAAAAAATTAAAAAGGAAAAAGAATAAGTAGCAGGAGGTATTGCTTCTTATCCAGCAAGCCTGCTTTTATTTCAAAATGTCAAGATGCTCTAAAATCTACACGTCTTTTAATTCCATGTTGTGTGGGCCCTGCCAGTGCAGAAGTGGTATGTGAGGTTTTTTTTTAACATGTTTTTGGCTCAGCCAATGCTACTGTTCAGCTAGGTCCCACAACCCTATCCCAACCAAAAGCAGTGCGCAAAACCTTGCCTCTTATTCAGCTCCCGAGAATAAGCTTCTTCGCCCTTCCTTTCACTTCCAGGTCAGCGGTGGCACTAGAAATTCACATGCCACTTCCAGCCAGAGGTGAGGGCTGGAAAGAATGGCAAAGGGGAACCTGAAAGCAGCCTTTGAGGCAGCTAAAGTTGCACAGACTGCAGTGGCCCTGAACAAAAGCCCATGCATGGAGCCAGATGTTCTCCCAAACTGCATCTCCCTGGGAGTGGAGCATGTTTATTATCCCATTGAGCCACTCTAGTGATGAACAGAGACCAAGGAAAAAGCAACCTATTCTTTCCCCCAGTCCCTGTCCATGGTGCTGAAAAAAGCACAACACTCTTATTCAGAGGTGAACCACTGCCACCTTGACCTTCTGCTGCTGCAGGTGGATGAGTCTCCCCACCCCTGCTATTACTGTACCTGTCTCCTTAAACCATCCACAGCTCCTAAAACTGATAAACCCATTAGAAGCCATTAAAGGCAAAATTCTTTTAATAGCAGGATAAAATATTATTTTTTTTCACACTAGAGTCTACTTAATGGTTCAGAATATAAAAAAGGGACTTGATTGAATCCCTTTTTGGGGCTTCAATTCCCTTTGGAGATTCAGCTCACGTTGCTGGCCTTACACTGTACAGCCATGCTATAATGATGCCTCCAGTTTTGTGTTGTTGTTTTTTCCCTGCATTTGAAGCTGTTGTAACTATTTGCTGGTTGTGAAAAAACCCACACCATTATCTCATTTTATCTTGCCTGCTCTGTCAGGACATGCTATGAACAACCTGAGAGGCTGTTAATCTTCCAGTAGAAAAGTTGGAAGTTTTAAGTGGTGCATTTTCTGCTGCCCTCGAATTTGTTCAGCCAGATTTTAATTGGAACCACAAAAGCATCTGGCTTGTTTATACTGAATGTTCTGCAATTGCAAATGGTTAGTAAATACAGATGCAGGAATTTGTGAATGCAGCTGAAGACAGGCCAGGGGAGAAGGAGGAGGGGAAAATCAGGCCGTGTTTGACAGCAGCAACACAAACAAGATGGAAGGAAGGCAGAAGTGTCTTGTGGAGTTCCTTAGGCTGCCTCTTTAGTATGAGAAGCTTCCTTGACTAAATCAGTATACACTGCAAAAATGTGATAGCTTCACTCTTCTGGGAAGCTAAATGAGACAAGGAAAAGCAGCAGAAAGGCAAAGGGTGTTTTCAGACACTGTAGGAAAGAGGAAACAGAAATGTACATCGTGACAGCATCTATTTATCCGAGAGAGGTGATTGAACCTCCTTTTAGTATGGGCATTAAAAAGTCCTCCAGTGGTTTCCTAATACTTATGGTACTTACAATTACTCTTAGATTCATTTTGATTTGGGTCCTGGTCTTTATTTGGAAGAGAAATTTCTTTGGCCATTCTGTGGTATGGCCATTGCAGGAATGCAAACATGCTGGTTCTCCTGGATCTTGCAGTGGCTCGCAATACTGTCAAGCATGTTAGCCCTCAGAATAGGATGCAGTCACTATGGAGGAGGGAATACCTGGCAGTAGTTACAGGCCTACATGGACATTTCAGAAGACTGTGCTGGAAGATGACTTCTGGAACCCTTGGAGGTCATGCTTTGGGATTCTGCAAGGTTCTATACTTTCTCTCAGGCTATTTGCTACCTACAAAGAGTCAAGGTGGAGAATTGATCTGAGGCATAACCAGTATGCAATGACACCCAGTTTTGCCTGTGATTTGCATCAGAAGCTGTGCCTGTCCTGCTTGAACATGGGCAACTGCCAAGGAGAAAGACCTTTGGATAAAGGCTCACCAAAGCCTTCCTAGAGAGGGCTGCCTGTGGTCTTTTCAGCACTAGGTGAAGAACTTCCCATGCTTTTAAAATACTAACCATTAACTGCCCTTCTTGATTTAAATGTCTGAGCCTATATTTGTGTGTGTGGGGTGGTGGTGGTGCTAAATTGCATTGTCATATGTTATGTTTCCTTTGGATTGTGTAGCTTTATGTTCTAGTCTATTTAAATACTTGTGATGTTTGTTCTAGTGAATGCTTTTTATGGAGAGGAATAAAATGTCGCAAATAAAATAAACTGATAATTCTAGGGACAGACAGAAAAAACCCACTCTGTTAGGTTGAAATTTAGTCTTTTATTTCTTTTCTCGATCATGACTGGAATAAGACTGATGAAGACCATGGGGCAGTTATGCTTCCTGACATATGTACACCAGAGGTTCAGGAGTTCTGAGATGTTGAAATTCATAGCATTACCCATGACCAGGCTGCTTCCTGCAGCTATTAGAACTAGAGGAGCAGTTGGTCTGAATGAGCACTGTAAGAATGAAGAGGGTTGCATATACCAGTAACAATGGTAAGCTGGCCTTGTTAATATAAGTCTCCAAAGTTTCTCCACACCTTCCCGGTTTCTAGTAATTTCTTCCACTGAAGGCAAGTAGATTGTGTTCCGTTGATTTAATTGGTACAGTGACTACACTGTGCTTGTATTTTACAGGAGGTTACCAAAGGAAATGTCTGGGAAGGGGAATAGAGAGAAACCAGCATACATGACTGCTCTGTTCTCTTGAGAAACCCATCATTCCTACTATGCTTGAGCAAAGGTACATGGGGTTTGGTGGCTACTGATGTAGCTTTTAATGCAGTATGTTCAGAACTTTAGACAGAACTGCAGGTGCCGATCCAGGGAAACAGGACCGGGGAGACCAATTCTACAGCTAGGTAAGAAAAGTTACTTCAGCAATGACTTGCTGGCAGGGTTTTATAGCATGGCCAGGAAATTCCCTCTGGGAAGTTGGCCTTCTTAAGTGCTGCATCTCATTCCTAAAGGGCCACTGCCCTTTTCCTGCAGTTGCTGGGTCCTTCTAAGTGGTGAGAGTTTGGAGAGTGAGGAGGAGTTTAGAGAATGCTTCCCAGGACCTGGAGTAATTTGAGCTGCACTCCTTGCAGTTAGAAGTCAATGATGTCCCTAAGGGATTGTGTGGACAGGTGCAGGATCCAAGGTAGAAGGTCCCACTTGCAATGTCCCAGGAACTGGTTTTCCTCAGCTTTGCTGCCACTGGAAGTCCTGGTCTCAAAGGGCTTTTGGTCCTGAGCCATGATGATTGGCAAGTGGATAGGGCACCCAAGAAATGGATGCTGACTCTTCAGCATCACTGCCAAGACCATCCCAGGCTACTTGTCAATACTGTGGGATAAAAGATGAGCTCTTGGGGCATCCTTTAAGAATCAAGGTATGCACTGTGGGGATCTTATATAGACATAAGTGTTCTGTCTAACTGGTGTTATAGCTGGGATCTAAGAAAGAACTAGGCATTTTCTCAGGATGCAATTACATCCCACCTTCATGCTGTCACAATCAGAGTCACCCCCTCATCTTTTAAAAAATTCTTTCACACCGCCTCATTCACAACTCAGCTCTCAGTAATACACCTATGTTTTCCGCAAACACAATTCCCAGGTTTATGTCTCTTGTTCTAGACTGGTTTCTTACTAACCATGCTAAGACATCACTGTGTTGTTTCTCTCTGAACAGTTGACATATGCACCTCAATCCAGCTAAATTACATTCTTAACCCCTTTCCATAAGTTTTCCTCTCTTCAATCACAGCGGACTACAATGCCATCAACATTTGTAAGCTCAGCATCGTATCTTCACCTTTGCCCTCCGGCTCTCTCCCCAGACCTTCATTTTCAGGCTGCTTCTGAGTCTTGTCAATTCATCTGGCAATAACTGCTAGTCATTCAGAAAGCTAAATCATCTATGCTGTGACTGCCATGCATTTTGATGACTGCTGTGAATGCTTCTCTTTGGCCTTGGTGGCTGACCAGTGGAAGATTGCCTTGCTCAGAATAAATGCATCTGGAATGCTGCCACGAAAATAATTTACATAGATTATCTGTCTGACTGCAACACCTTCATGTCCCTGATTACAAAAAACAAAACCCATTCATCTCTTCCCAAGGTCCTGTGTGTACTGCTGATGCCTATATAAGCTGCAGGAGAGTTGAAGAGCCGACTCCGTGCAAGTCAGAGGGATGACAGTGGCAGTAGCTTCGCTTAGTGTTGGGGGAACAATACTGGATGCTCCAATAAAGGAGGCACTTCTGGAGGTTCCATATAGGTTGAAGCTCCACTTGAAAACCACTGGGAGCGGGGCCTTCAATGTGGTGAATACCCTACGAACTGAGATCAGGCGTTCACTTAAAGTACTCTGCTTTCAGCATGTGCTGAAGAATTATCTCTTCAGGCAGCCACTTCTTGATTGACAAGTAGTTGCCAGCCACTGTTATATTGATCTATTTGCTTTTATTGTAATCTTTTTAAAAAGAGAGAGAATCATTTCCATTTATTATGGATTGCTCTGATATCTCTTCATGTGGAGGTTTTAATACATTTCAAATAAATGAATGGAGAACTCGTTAGAGGGTATTCCAAAGAAGCTCTTGCATGCTTACATGGGAAAATATAACAGTTAACACACTCACGTTGGATGTCAATGGTGACCGAAGTCTCTTTCCCACTAGGAATGGCCTTGTTGGTGGCCCGGCAAACGATGGTCTGGCCATTCTCAATGTCGGATGGGGAGACAAAAAGCATGCTCATGATGCTCTCCCTCTTGCCATCACGGAGCACTGTCTGCAGGGGAATGAAGAGAAACAGTTACTGCTTTTGGAAAGAGAGGACAGTGTTCCACAGTCATATGTTGCAGTGTTCGGAAAAGGATCAGCCGTTGGCACTGGAAGCAGACATATTGATTGAGAATCTATTTATCCTGCATTTTCATTAAAAGAAATGCTCGAGGCAGGAAGCAAACTGAACATGTCAAGACGAACAAGGAAACATAAAAATAGCTAATACTGCAAGAGAAGGGGGAGCAGATCATGCATTTCAGTTCCCCCCATTCCATTCACAAGTCAAATGAATGCACTTTTTAAGCATCTGGTATGATTTAGGCTGTTCAAGATCTTGCAAGACATCCTGAACTCTCTGAACAGAGTCAGGCAAACTTAAAGAAATGTCATCCTGCAATCAATCAAAGCAAACTGTGCATGTTTTCTAATGAGTTACCTGGTCCAGGACTTGTGGGGCCCTTGGGCAAAAGTGGGGGTTTCAAGCCTGGAAACAAGGCAGGGTTGACAAATAATGAATGTCTCCACACTGCCTGCCCTTTTGAGGAGCAAATGGAAGGAGAGCTGACTTGGTGCTCCAGCAATTCCAGAACTTGTTACCTCTCAGAGCTGGGCCCACAGCCTTGTTTGCTTCAATTCCTGTGATATTTATCATTTATTTCAAGGTGTGCTTTCAATCAGCACATTTAGTTCTCTCTAGTCAGATAGGCCATGCATATTAATAAAATGGAATATTTAAATGCTCATTACCATGCTGCACTGAAGGTGCTTTCATATGCATATCAAGAGGGCATCCGTGTCTATGGCACTCTAGCACCAGCCCTTCACACTGCCAAATACCAAAGGTTGCCCAGGTGCAATCACTGGGGAGTCAGAATTCTAAAGCTTCATCTTTTTGTAATATTTTATGAGAGGAGCATGAGCACTGCTTGGCACAGAATTAATCTCCTGTCAGATCTGATCTGAATCTTGTACTTGGCTTTAATGCGATCTACAGCAGGCTGTGGAAATTGAGATATACTCATCAGTCTGGACAGGTGCTCATATAGGCTGCTATGGCCACATCCTCTCACCCCTTCCAAAAGCAGTTCTGAAAGTCTAACTAGCAAATTTAGCATTTCTAAAACCCTGTAGTGAACCTGTGATGCTGGACAGACCTTGGGGACTAGTATCAACTGGATTCCTGCATGCTTTGAAGGAGTTTCCTTTTGACATGGCAGCCACTTTTGTGGTATCCCTGTTTTCACATTGGAATCATGAGAAGGAAGAGTTTTCGGCACAATCACAGGACAACACAGTGTGCGGTAGGGCCCAACCAGCTCGCAGGCTTATGAGGAAGATGGAGCAATGAAACAGGCACAGTCACAGCTAGAATGAGGATAGTGCCGATCTCATGGTAAAAACCAACAGGTTTTGAGTAAAACATATTGGGTTGATATCCAGACGTGTTTTCTTTTGTTATCTGACACAGGTAAGGTTACCCAGGTGTAGACCACTGTCCAAATTTGGTAATGGCCTGGATTAGGACCCAGCAACTGCAGCTGAACTGAGACAGGATGGAGATACTGCAGGAAGGATTCTTTCTCCCATTTCTATGCCTGCATTCCTTCTAAAGTTGTGTGTTGGCATTCCTGGTCCCCCATACTTGGCAGGGTTGCAGCCGAAGGTGGGCACGATCAACGTACACTCTTCTACATACACATACAGCACAACCCTATCCCTGATCCATGCACCCTGCACAGTTGTTCATCATTCACAATTCCCTTTCTTACACATGTGTGCATTCACAAACTCATGCTACCTTCCCAGTACTCTTGGCACTGAGACTTGGAAAAACTCCATTTGCTCCAATAATATCACCAATGCAAATTGCAGATCGGTGATTATATATCGGTATAGAGGAATTTAGCTTCTTGCTCTCTGCTATGGTTCCAAAATGGATTAGCTTCTTGCACCTTCATTTTGTGTTAGGAAAACCTCCCATTTGCTCCAGTGGGATGTTTATTTTCTTTCCCATCTTATTGCAGGAGTGGCACAGTTTTCTGCTTTTCAGAACTGGATTGGGGCTAGGATGAAAAGAAGCTCTTCTCTGTGCATTCAGCACAAAGACCAAGGAGAGAGACCTGGCGGTTGGACGGGAATTCTCTTTCAGTGCTGGGCACCATTACATGATTTCCAACATCTCTTCTGGCCAGTTCCAGGCCAACTTGCAGCTTTGGAATTCCCTTGCTGCACATACAAGGTGGTGGCATAAATGGCTAAAATGAAAGCAACTTAAAGAAAATGATGGCTCAATTCCCATTTCATGGTGCCTGGAAAAAGCAAAGCATCTTCAGCCAAAGGAAATGAAATCCTGTTCCATCCAAATAATAAAATAAAATATAAAATAAAATAAGGCTTCCTGCAGATTTAACTCTGATTCCTTCAAGAGTGTTCATACTGGCAGGTCTGTGTCTTGCATGCCTCTGTAGGCTTAGACTTCACTGAGGGAGGGAGAAAAGGAGAGAAAATAGTAAGATGGAAAAACCAGGAGTGAGGGAAGGACACCTTGGGAAGGGAGAGCAACTTGTTCACAAAGGAGCGGTGCTCAATATATGCATACTTCATAAAAACAGATTGACGGCTACTAACTAGGAGAGGGAGATGAAACGGAGCATCCATATTCAGTGGCTACATGCCTCTAAATACCAGGCACTGGGTAAAAAGTGACAAGGGAAAGATGATGGTTTCATGGCTTGCTTGTGAGTTCATGAGAACAAGGATTTATTCTCACAATTGTGTGTGTGGTCACTCCAGCAATTTGTAGAAGGGTAGTTTGGGCTCAGCAGTTTTAATTTCAGTTCCTTTGCTAATTAAGCCTAACATGAAAAAGGCAAAAATTCCATGTTAGGCATAATTAGGAAAAGAATCGAAAATAAAACTGCCAAGCTCATGCTTTCCTTAAACAAATTTTGGATGTGACTGTGCTTATAGTACTGTGCAGAGCTCTGGTCACTGCAGCCCAAAGGATCTTATCCAGTTGGCAAAAGTGCCAAGAAGGGCAACTGAAATTATCGAGGCCCTGGAGCGACTCCTCTACATCAGAAATGGTCTTGTTTAGAAAAGAGGCAAGCCGAGGGAAGGCGTGATCAAGGCATACAAAGTTGTGTATGTTGTGGAGAAAGCAGACAGGGATTTTTTTTCTCACACTCTTGTAATTCAGGAACTCAAAGGGGTCACCCCTTGAAGCTGATCTGTGGGAGAAGCTGGGCACATAAAAGGAAGGACTTCCTCACATAGCATAGTTAAACTATGGGATTAAGTTTCGCAGGATATTGTGAGCGCCAACGATTTGCATAGCTTTTAAAAGGGATTGGAGAAAATCATGGAGAAACAGGCTATCCATGATTATTAGTGCTTCTGACTGTATGATAATTCTTGTATCAGAAGCAATATGTCTATGCACACCAATTGCTGTGGAACATGGGCCAAAGGGTTCTGCTCTACTCGTGCCCTGCTTGTGGTTTTCCCATGGGCAGCTGGTTGGAAACCGTGTGAAAAGAATGCTGGACTAGATGAACCATGTTCATCCCACAGGGGTCCTCCTATTCCTTATTAGCCGGCTGCTGCTGCAAAAAGCATCTTGGCCTATATCTGGAATGGGAAGCCTCCAGCCTATGGGCTCATCCGCAGAATGGTTGCCATAGTGAGCATGGCTGTTCACAAAGCGCTCATTTCCCAGAAGGCAAAGTGGTGAGACTAAAAGAAAAGAGCCGAAGTGCAGAGGTAGCATCCAAACACCAAAACTCACAAACCCCCTCTTTTGGGTCCAAGTATAGATGGCACTGGGAAGCAGTACTTCACTTGGCAGGTCCCAATTAACAATCCTTATAATTAAAAGTAAGACAGAAAATGAAAATCAGAAGGAGTGGAGCCTGATGAGTACAAACTGAGGTGCCCTTGTGTTCACGGATAATCAAGGGCACCACCCTGGAGATTCCAGGATGCATGTTATCCATTCCACCCAATGGTATCCTATTTTTACTGTTTTGAAAAGAAAGCGATTAATTTCCAATTTCCCTACAGTCCAGAGGAACCTTTCAATTTGGGTTGGCTTGTATGATGATAGGGTTCAGGGAATGGAAGAATGGAGTGGGCTATAAGTAATTTCAGTGGACTTTAATTGCATTTTAATGGACTTTTAATGTGATACATCCACATTTTAATATTTATAATTAATCTATAATTAATCTATTAACACCTTCCCTCTGCCTTTGGTAATGGAGAAGGACAATGGAAGTAGGGTTTTAAAGGGATCAAGTGTTGTTAGAAGAGACTGAATGTTCAGGCTTGCAAGGAAAAGGGGGCATGGAGCAAACTTAGAGGAGAACAAGCAGCTTAGAAGGTGAGCCATTCATCCTGCTGGGGGTGGGAGGGCAGTTACTTATGTACATGACAGAAGCGGGCAAAAGATGATCCAATTTCCATATCTGGGCTAGCTGATAGAGGAACCTTTATAGAAAATTACTATACATTTAAATAAAAATGCAATACATAACATGGAAGTCTGAGATCCAGTGACCAGTTTTGTGCCTGCTCAGTGTGTTGCCCAGATGCTGACTATGAACGAGCAAAGCCCTGCTCCCCTTCCTTATGCTTTGGGCTCCTCCACCGCTGCTCACTCCATTGTACTGAGAGAATCCACTGTTTGCACAAAAGGACTACTTTTAAAAGCAACAGTGGATTTCCAGATCAGGAGATGTCAGTGGCGTTTCCAGAAGGTAGCTCTGCTCACCTGGAAACATGTGTTAGTGTTGCTTTGGCATTAGTTTCAGAAAGAAGCCCTGAAGCCCTGTTGTATGAGCAATGAATCCCTCCACTGTTGAGGTTCAATAGGATAAATCTAAAGGAACGCTTGCGTCCATATATGCCCTTCCACCCCTTGAGATCGGCAACAGATGCCCTTCTCCGGGAACCCTCCATGAAGGATATTAGGAGGGTGAGTACCTGGAGGAGGGCCTTCTCTGC